GAGAATCCAAAACGAAGCAAAAAAAAAAGGAAAAAATGCGCCAAAACGAACGAACGACAGATCTTTGCCAAACCAAAATAGTTTCTGGATATGAAATGATAGAATTGAATGATCTGATGATTATCTCAACCGGATTCATCAAAACACATGATTCAAGGAGAAAAAAAAGGAAAAATGCACAAAAATGAAGAGAAGAGAGAATGAAAATGCATCGGAAGCGCTGTCATGTTCCGTCAGGTTCAGTTGGAGAATCAGAAGATGGTGTTTACGTTACATAACGAGTCAACTGTCAAAGCATGTTCAGCAGATTGAGGACAGCAGATAAAGACTTTCGAATCTTTCAAGAACCCTTTTTTGTCCTTAAAACGATTCTTACAAATGACATCAATCAATCAATAGTGCTGCCAACAAGACGCCAATCACAAAAAAGTTTTTCGAAGAAAATTGGAAAAGCAAACTCCAACGAGCAAAGTAACAGAGAGAGTAAGAGAGAGTAAGAGATGTGGCAATGAGAGGTTTGAGAAGATTTAACAAAAATTTAAAAAATGACAGATTTTATCAAATGGAATTCAGAGTATTTTTTACGTGTTGAATAGAAGGTAGGTGGGGGGGGGGATAAGTTTGGCAAGTTGTTTACTTCGGGAAGAGAGAGCGAAGAGAGAGAAAAGAAGACGACGAGACGTCCTCATCGTCTCGACGACTGTCCTTGCCGTCTTCTACGCCGCTCATTCAACTGAGAGAAAATGAGAAACAATATAGAATGAAGAGAAGAAAAGAAGATGGAGGTACATTCCTCACATTCTCGCCTATTTAGAAGTATCGTCGGTCGTTGTAGTCATCGAATAGACATTGATGTCGATGCGGGTGTCACGGGTCGATCCGATTACTTGAGACAATCGCATATTACCATTTCCGATGACAATCAAGTCAAAGTCTATCGTGATGGTTGAGCTTGAAGAGAGATGCCAGTTACAGATGACGACATTCTCTTCATTTTTTGTATTCCAAATGAGAGGACACAATCAAAAAGTAAAAAGAAGAGAGAAGTTGATGATGAGAGAATGACGGTTTCATTAATCATCATCTTATGATTTAACTATTCTGTGATAGAGTAATCATGTGCTCACACACCTTTATATGGAAACTTGAAACAACTAACAGAGAGTGGAAGTGAGAGATAGAGAGAGAAGGGGACGGAAGAGGAAGAGAGGAACAGATTTGAAGGCTAAGAAAGAGAAAACGGTAAGTATCATCGACTACCATGTCTTCCGTGTTTAGACGAGACTAATCGTCTCTGACAGTTGTACATCTCTTTATACGTAATAATGTAAAAGATTTAAGGTTTTACGTTCCTTAACGTGACTAAGATCAAAGACTGACGAAGCTTCTTGTCCTTCAAACCAAGTTGCACAGTCAGAGAGAGTTTGAAAATGAAAAAAAAAACCAAAAGTTCGTATCACTCGAAGCTTTCAAAAAGACAGATGGCGTCATAGAATTTTGCAGAAGACGGTCCTTCTGCTATCAAATTTTGAGATTAAAAAAGGCTCGAGAGTGGGGAGGAGAGGCATAAGGTGGTCAATCAACTTGTCTAATTTGAACATATTTGACAAATCTGTTCATTTTTCCATTGACACATAATATATGGACGGACAGTAGCAACATCAGCAAGTCAGAAGGAAAAAAGGAAATGCTGGTGTAAACAAACGATAACGAAAACCTGTTACTTTGGTCTCCCTTTCTTCTTCATATACTCTTCGTAGTATTGGTTAGAGAAGCATCTGATGGCACTGCTTATCATTTTCAAAAGACATTATGTAAATCATGGATATATCTCACCCTTTACAAGGAGAGTGAGCAGAGAGAGAGAGAGAGATAGGAGAGGAAGGGGAAGAGGTGAGCTATAAGAATGATAATGATGTTGATATGGAGGATACACATAAGAAAATGAGATGAAAAGAGAGATCACTCAGCAACCGTCGGTGTTGAGTCGAAAAGAACACAAACATTACGATTTTCTCATTTTTTGTGTGTTGTTGTTGAAATATGAAGAAGTAGAAAGAGAGAGAGAGAGAGACAGAGAGAGCTAGAGAGAGAGAGATGAATACTTATCAAATGACTATATAAGGCAACTCTTTTCATTTCCTTTTACAACACAACTTCAACTTTACTATAATAAAGATATAAAATTTGATAAAAAGTACGTCAAAGACTTAATGGATTGGAGGAATGAAAAGAATTTTTGCAGACTGACGATCGAGAAACTGCCGCTATCGTCTAAGAGATACAATCTATTAAAGACTAGAACAAGAAAAGGAATACAGATGCTCGATTACGCCATATTCCATTGAAATTCTTTCTGTTAAACCTTTTCCAAACCATTGAGTGAAAGAGAGAGGGAGACAAGTCAGAGAGAGGGAGAGAGAGGATGAGAGAGGTGGAGAACAGAAAAAATGCAAAGAAAGTTCAAAAAGTTTTTTTCTCTTTCGTCATCTCACCTCTTCATTCATCCTAATCAGGAATGGGCTCGAGTGAGATGAACGAATCCAACACTTCATTCTTGGAAATAAATTCCAAAAAAAGATAATCGGAAGTATGTTTGTCATAGATTAATCTCAAGATCAATCTTTATAACATCACATTCTCTCCCCCCCCCCCTTTAGAAGTGAGGTCAAACAATGTTTCAAACAGATCATTCGCTTTTTGAAGATTCATCCAAATCAACAGACATCTTCAGACATGAGCGATCGAAATGTTTTAAGAAAACAAGAAAATTGAAATATTCTTAACTGGGACGAGGAATGTCTAGCAGGTCGTTGTTATAGAAGCTTCTGAATCTCAGAGTTGTATAGCTTCTACAACTCGTTATAGCAAACACAAAAAAGGAAGAAGAAGAATAAGAAGAATAAGGAGACGAATTGTAAAACGTTTGATACGGCAGACAAATTACGAGAAGAAAACTAACGAGGAGAACACATGGAGAAACAGGCAAATGAAGCAAAAGTACATATGAATACAATCGATGTGTAACTACCGCTGAGAGGAGGCTTCTCCGCTTCTGTTTAACGCCAAAGTCATCAAAGATTTTCTTTTTTCCTTCAGCTCTAACTCATTGCACACAAGTCATAAGTAATTAAAATAAAAAATGAATTGTATCTTGTTAGAGGGAGAGGAAGGGGGGGGGATGACAAAACTAGAAATTGGAATGTCAAAAGCGAAGGAATGCATAGCATTTGATCTTACCGTGTATTTGTACATTTGATGTTGGCGGATCAAAAGATGAACAAGCAGTAGACAGTTACAGAGAGTGACACAGAGAGAAAGAGAGAATGTGAGATAGAGAAGAATGCACAACGATGTCAATGAGAGATTCAACAGATTCATAAAAGAATTACAAGAAAGAGGAAGGGGAGGAGTACAAGAGAGAAGAGTACAACTTCACTTATATAAAGCTTCGAATCAAAACCCAAAAACGATTCTTCACAACATCATCTTGATCAATGAACAAGAGTATACAAGTAAGGGTTTAATACAAATATGGGTAAAGCTTATACGTTGGGATTAACATCAAGTGAACTGAAACATCTCAATGATCCAAAACAAGACAAGACAGACGGAGTGATAAGAGTATCATCATTGGTCACACTCATTTTACAAACAACACCTATGTGTGACGAAGAATGCGACTTATATAAAGATAACACCTTTCCTTCAACGAGCAAATCTATACGAATGGCAGAGAAAGGAGAGACAGAGAGACAGTGAGAGAGAGAGGGTATTCAATCCTTTCAACAAGTCATTGATGAAGTAAAAAAAACTTTTTTACTTTGCATCATCAGTGCTAACTGAATGTCATAACTACTCGAATAGAGCTTCAAAAACAATATGCACTTCAATAGTTTGAGAATATTTGCTAAACTGTCTACTATAACAGCATTCGCTTATTTAACAACGAGCGAGATGTCTAAGAACGAACGCAAAAAACCCGATGAGCACAAGAGAAGATGAAGCGCTCCGTTAAAAACAAAATACGAAAAGAAAAGGTCAAAAGACCAGAACAGTAAAGAACATTCGAACACTCACTATCTGGATGCTGATTTTACAATTTGAATGCGAGCGAATAAGAGAAGACCAAATAGAGTATTGTAAACAAAACAAATCAATTTTGTAGAAACAAACTACAGAGGGTAAACTTACAATCCACCAATGAATCACACTAGAGCAAACAGCAGATTAGTTTTGCCAGATTAATCAATAAGTAAAGTGATAATAAACAGATTAGGTGTAGTCTTCTTACCAAACAACAACAAAGAGTTTAAAAAAAATTAATTTAAAAATTGTAAAAAGATTTTGCTCCAGGCGAGAATCGAACCTTTGATCCCGCCAGCCTGAGCAGCACACCAACCACTACACCAAAATGTCAATATTGCTTATCAATTAAGAAAAGACCCAATTTCAAAGCATTTTTTGAGAGAAAAATGTTTATTGACATCTGAGATCGTATTCTACAATAACCTATGAATACAGTGTCAAACCGTTCCCAATAAAATATTTTTTTTCTGAACAAAATTGAAAAAAAAGAAATAAAATTGTGGCACAGATTATTATGAAAAGAGAAACGATAACTTCCTAGAGATAAAGAGTTTCATAAAATATATAAAATATGTATATTATGCCTATATGATTTGATCATTTGAATGTAAGATAGATATATATGTATGAAGATCACCTAAGGGCAAATAAATAAGGTCAGACTCTCTAGTTGTGTACAGGGGTGTGTTGAGATGAAACAACATCAAATAAACATGAAAATGAAAAAGCTTTGGAGACATGAGTTGAGATTATCAAAGATTGAAATTGTACAACTGGGCTTAAGTTTACTCGGGTTCATCAATCAGTTTGAATTTTCAAATATAAAAATCCGACCAGTAATAATGGCTTTTGTGTCCGCTTTAAGCGTGGCATACCGCTATACAGAGTGAGGGCAGTATGATGTTTCTTTTTCAATTCTTTAAAAAGTGCAAGCAAGCTCCTCGTACTGCCCAGCAGAACTGCGCCCAATCACTTTTCCTCCAATGCTCTACGTTTATCTCATCATCGCCCACCTTCTGTGCTACCCGAATTTCAGTGCCAACATCGGCAAAAACAACTGACCGACCCTGAAATTTCGGAAGCTACAAAAGAAAATCATATAAGTAGGTGCTTGTTAATCACGTACCGATCGTTGATTGGATGAAAAGCAATATTCAGCTCGTCTACGTGAATTGAATGAAAACGCCATATCATTATCTGAAGCTATCTGAAAACATGGAATTTAGATTTCCGTCTCTCCCCTGTTACAAGCTACTGATGAAGCTTCGATGCATTTTAATTTTTATTTTTCTCTCCTACTCCCCCCCCCTCTACGATTAAATAAAGAAAACAATTCTTTGAAAGTAATTTTGAAGCTTCTCAAATGGTCAGACACTTCCTCTCCAATGAATTGTTTACAATCACTCTCAGCTTCCTTTGTCTTGTCAATGAACAAAATGGCAGAAAATTGTTTTCATATAAGGACATGCTTCTTCATATTACAACAACTTGATTAAGAAGTTTCTTCGAGTGAAACTCTTTGTTAGAGAAGTAAGTAAAGGAAACGTATAAGCTTGCTCACCTGTAACAGAGTCGTCACACTATTGCCATCGCTTAAATGAAAGTCTGTTGGATTAGAGATCATTCCACTAACAGAGGATGAACTACCATCCTCTTCTTTCGAAGCTCCGTTAGATATCTGATCAGAACTATCAGGACCAGTCTATATATGGTTTGTTATAAACGAATATACAATCGAATACAGGGCCTTACCATAGTACTTTCGTTCAGTTTGTTAAGAAATAAAGCGTCTGAGAGAGATAGTCCACTTTCGTTTTCTTGACACTGCAAAAGAGAAATTTGAGAAGGAAAAAAAAGTTTTTTTTTCTTTTTTTTCTGATAAAACGGAAATGGTTCGAGAATACAAACGAAAGAAACAATCAGATAGTTTTCATAAGGAAGCCACAGTGGTGACACAGTGAATGGCATGAAAGGAAAACTAACCTCTCCAGGCGAAGCTGACATACTAGTTGCCTGCTGGATCAAGTTTGTGAGGAAGTCGTCCTGGGCGGTAACTGTAAGAAAATTGATTGTAAATAAACTTTTTAAAATAAGAAAGCATCTTGTTTGTCTTATTTCTTAGTAACAAACATCAAATTATGAAGTTGAATGGACGCACTGTGAGGGGAGAGGTCAAGTTTTTCAGTTTCTCTCTCTCTCTCTCTCTCTCTCTCTCTCTCTCTCTCTCTCTCTCTCTTCTTTCTCATTATGAAAGTAGCCAAAGACAAAACGATAGGTCTAGTGAAGACAGCAGAAGTAGTGAAACGAGAAACATTAGGAGAAGAAGAAGCTTTTGGCAAATCAGAACGTCTGAACATTACAGCTTGGTGATGATGAAAAAAAAACAACAAAAGCATTCACTATCTCCGACCGGAACAATTCTACACGAAAGATGTTCCATTGATCATCTCAGAGGAAAATTTGGCTCTGATATGTCAGAGAGAGAGAGAGAGAAAGACCATGTCAAGCCATCAGTCTGAACACATTTGTTCATCAAAACGAAACAAAAACAATGTGATTGTTGAAGTGAGAAAAAGGAGAATAGTTAGCACAGTCTGCATGTTGGACAGCATAGTTGATTGAATAACATTCAGTTAGATAGACAAGAGGCACCTTTGGTCAAACTAAGCCAAAAACACAAAATGTAGACTACACAGAGGCAGAAAGAGAGAAGAAACAAAGCATTGTCAGCTACAGATCATAGCGATGACGAGGATGGCTGGGCCAATCGACCATTATGTGAACAGAACTACTGATGTTCACTGTATGTATGAAGCATGTAACGATATTCAGTCAAAAAACGAATGAAATTCAAAAAGTTGAAACAACAGCACGTATCATGTAAGCCATCTCCATTCAAGAACGCAAACGTAGGAAGGAGAATGGACTTGTATGAACGATGAACCTGTTCGTTCATTCGGGAACGGTTAAACATAATATAAACTGTCGGTCCGTTCAATTCAGATTGTCTGTTGTATTGGAAAAGCTTCAAGACTTCATTCTCGCATGCCTCATCAACGGTCATAAAGGATGATCAATCTGATGGAACTGTCTCTTCATCACAACAACAATACATTGAACTTCTAATGTTTCGTGGGAAAATAACAAAGTAAAGAGAAGCAACTTCACTACCTGTTGTCATAAAGTAGTTGAGAACGCAGCAAGAAGTTCGATGAAGCGTTCCTCAATTACCTTTTATGTCAAACTGGTCTCACTTTCTCTCTTCAACCTCAGACGGTTTTCGTTGTCTAGACAACGACTCCTTATGAAACTTACAATGTTACCAACACTATTCGTTCTCATTGCAAGCTCTCATCGTACAACTCATGGAAAACAAAAATGAAGAAAGGCTGAGAGTAACATGAAATTTGGATAGATGTTATGAAAGAATCATCTTTGTTATAGATGAAAGTACATTCGAGAAGAAATGATATCGTCGCAAAGGATGGGGTTTGTGAGGAAAAAACGGGCCAACGAATGGAAGGGAACAGAAGCAAAGCGTTGAAACAAAAAAAAGGCGAACGAAAAGATTTTTGCAGCTGATTGCACTCTCGCAAATACCTGATGTGCTACACCTATTCCTTCAGAATATCATTTGTTAGCAAATCGTTTTTGCCTCATATTCTTATCATAGTTCACATGAGACGGAAGTTTGTGTTTCGTTTTCTTTCCTTCTTCTATTGTCTTTAACTCCAACTCACAAATCGAGACAACAGAAAAACCCTTCCAAACGTATTCTGTCAACTTCTGCAGTATGAATTGCCAATCGCTATGTCTCTCTTTCTTTCTCTCTCTTTACGTATCTCTCTCTTTCTCTTTCTCTCAATCATCATCCTCTCTCCCATAAGATTCTTCTCACATTCTCATTCAACCGAATAATTAATTATTATAACAGGCTATTTCCTATTTTTTGTTCCATCTCCCATCAATCTCTGCTTTTTCTTTCAAAAAATTTTAAAATTCAAAAAACTCACGAGCGAAATTTTTCAAATCTGTTCCCAATACTTCTCCCGTTCCAAATGGGTTAAAGCTGTTAAATGGACGAGTCTGCGTCAAAGCTTTTAATAAAACATCATCGCCCTGAATAACTTTTCATAACAAATCCATCTTTTTATTAATTGCAGTAAAACCTTTTTTGTACGAGGAGCATAGTTGGCGGGAGCCTGAGAATTTATTTTTTCTTCGCAAATTGCCCATAAGCCACCAGGTCCTGTAAATATGAAGATGGCTTTGACGTTGGCACGCTATACAGAATACAAGTGCATAAGTGTTACAATGTGTTTTCATATTTGATTGCGTGCCGCATATTGCTAAGAATCGTACGTTTCATTTTTCTTCGCAGCTAGCAGTTAGCGGTGTTAATATCATTCTGAATGCGCAGTGATGCGTGAGCGATAAAACAAATTCATTTTCGTTTGCACGTAGCCAGTGAGCGGTGGCATGCCTGATAGTGCATTTTCATTCGGCGCATGCAAAAATGAGTGAGCGGTCGTGCATCTCATCTACTCGTATGAGTATACGAGTTGAAAGATTCCAGTTTAAACGAGATAAATGATGAATGCATAATATTTGATTAATTGAATGAATAATAACCTGTATCATGTTTTCGTTTTAAATGAAATTTCATAGTAGTCGGACTCCGATCGTTGGTAACCCAATGACAAAAACGACATCGTACCCCAGCCAATCCATGACCTCGCAAATCAGTAAAAAATTCCCAAACCTGAAATGGAAAAGTAGAGTAAACCAATTGCACTAAATCAGTGAATAAATAGAAAGAATAAGGCTTATTTTTCTTTTTAATCGTTCTGGTATTTAGGACAATTCAATGTGTTGGTTAGGGTTAGGTGGTAGGGGTGGGGGGGGGGAATAGCTAAACATATCTGTTTTTCGGACCTGTCATAGTTAAAAGTCAAAGTCTACGAGCCATTTAACTGGGTCGTCGTCAATTAAAAACATTTTCACCAAAAAATAATTTTTGGTAAAAGTTTTTTTTGCATTCAATTCTCAACATGGCTGTTACTCAAAAAGGTCTGTTCCAACAAAGCAATTTTGAATAATTGCTTGGATGAATAGAAATTATGGGGAAGAGGGGGAGAGGGAGAGTGAGAGGAAGAGGAAGAAACGACAGGAAGGAAAGGAACAAGTTTTTAATATTATTTTAGCTGAAATGAAGCAAAATGACTCTGACTGATGTTATGTATGTGATCTCTGTGTACTCTGATTTCAGGTCAAACGTGCCCAAACTACATTCTACAAAGTGATGAAGGAGAGAGACAGAGAGAGAGAGGAGGAGGATGGCCTGATGATGTTGAGGTAATGAAAACGAACACTACAGTTTGAAATAGATTTGAAAAAACAGAGGAAAAACCCTGAGATGTGATGAGACTCGCAGTTATTAGATGAGAAAGACAACTTGAATCGAATATTTCATTTTTGAATTGAGGTGATTGAATAACATTGAAAAGAGTTATTCGTTTGATCTTTTGCTGTCACTTCTCATTGACAGTTTTGCTGCCTAAAAAACCCACAAAAACTTGTGAAGAGGGAGAGAGAGAGAGACATAGAGAGAGAGAGATAGACAGAGAGAGAGAGAAATGAAAGACATGGAAGTAATACTGAAATACGTATTGTATTCTCCTGTAATTCATATTGAAAATGTGTTTTGCCCCTCAAATGTGGGCCTTGCTTTGACTCAAAACGATCCTCCTTCATCTTCTTTTTTTTCTTTCACAAATTCATCTTTGTATCTACGTCGTCCAACTTTTTGCTTCCTTCTAGCTGTGGTTGTATGTTGTAGATGTGTGTCTCACCTTTACTGAGAAAGAAAAAGTGAGATAAATAAATTAGGAAGAATGGATGGATGTGAATATAATAAAAAAAAATGAAAAGAAGAAACGATTTTCAGAGTGAGAGAGTAAGACAAGGTAAGAGAATCAAGAGGGAAAAGAGAAATGGCGGGACCTGTATTTGAAATCGGTGAACAAGCCCCCAGAAGACGCGGATTTCGATTTCAATTCCTGACGAAACGGGCCTCAACAGGTTAGTTATAGCCTGTAGTTGTCTGGAATATCCCTTGCATATCATTCTCTATCGTCTTCTGTTGTTTTTTTGGTTTGTCATTCAAAACTATATGAATATGTGGGGCTAACGAATTCGAATATTTGGTTTACTTGCAAGGATGATGATGGTTGTTGGGAAGAGAATCTGTTGTGAAGAAGATGCTTTAGTCCCTTCTCTATCTGACTCAGTCTCTCTCATTAGCTATCTATCTCTGTCTACCTCTACTATTCTTCCAAATCCGCATCATTCACTAACCACAACCATTTGAGAAGAGAAGCTAGACAGTTCAATTCTAGCCGTCTTTTGTATGCTTCTTGATCGAAAAGCAATATATTGAAATAGAACAACGAGTTTTTAAATCCACATTTCAGATCTTCGGCCATAAGATGATGTTCACATTAAATTCCTTTTTCCAAATACTGGAAAGACATTTCGGAATGCAAATTTTCAAATTTCTCAAAAATTTATTTGACGATTTTATCGCCGAAGTCCAAACTAATCCGCTAACTTCAAAGCACAATGGGCTTACGAAAGATGCTTTTCGACCAAACAATTCGCTTCCAAGCCCCCACTCCCCCTCTTCCCCATCCCCCCCCCCCCCTTCGCCTAATAAAACGAAATTATCTTGATTAATGAAGTATTTTATCACTTCAAACACACAAAAAAGGAAGCAAAGAAAGGAAGCAAAAAAGAAAACTTCAATGATCATTTGCTGTTTTTTTGGCTATTAAAGTGTCAATAATTCCCTTATCTCCTAAGGACTTTCGGCAAGAAGTCAAAAAGATTTCAATCGATAATCGAAAGTAGCCATCCTTCCCTCTCTCTCTCTCTCTATACCTCCCTACCTCTATCTTCCTCCTCTCTCTCTCTTTCTCTATCTGTCTCTTCCTTCAAGTTCCATTTATCCCATAAAAAACGTTTGCATACAGACCAAAACCCATCCCACCAAATTTTCATTTTTCCATACTTTCTGACTCGTCTCCCTCACTAACTCCCTCTTCCTCCCTCCCTCCCACCCATCACATGTATCCTTCCTTATACTCTATAGAACACGAGAGGAAATATAACTGACTAATAAAACAATATAAAATATAAAAAGAAGTAATGAAAAGTTAACTAACTGGATTGCTTTTCTTTCGACCGGCATTACGTGGATTGGGAACATTAGGAGCCGGCTGAAGGCCGGTTCTCCCAAACATCTATAAACATGCTTTTTGAATTCTGATATTCCAATACAAAATGGGAGATTGAAAAAGACTTCTGACGACAAGAAGCTCAGAAGCTCAGAGCTTTTGGTCCTTCTGTCAGAAGCATAGAGATATGATCATGATAACGAGGGAGAGAAAGAGAGAGAGAGAGTAACTTACTTAAATACAATGCGGATGTTATCCGTTCAATATCAGGTGGGGGGATGAACGTCGAAATGATGAAAAATCCAAGATGGCCAATTCCTCGAACGGATGATCAGTTTTGCTGTTTGAATATATGAATTGTCGTCTGGGAAAGGAGAATACGATTGGCAAACGCCGATTACGTCCGCTTATGTTTACAAGGGGCTTCGTTATGAAATTTGAACTGAAAATCGCAAGTCTGATTACGGGTTAGATACGTAAAAAGGAAATGAATAAGATGAAAAATGACAGACAGCATACAGGTCTTTACAGGTCTTTACAGGTGTGGATAAGGAAGGGTATACATAAGCAAAATATCTTTTTTAGTTTCAAATTTAGTTTTTTCTTATAAAAATTTGAACGAAAAAACTTTTTTTCTGCTTTCCATTCATGAGATAGCTGATACGAGAGAGAGAGAGAGAGAGAGAGAGAGATACACTGAGATTGAGAAGATGCAGAGAGTATGAGTAAGAGAAAGAGAAAGGAAGAGAGTTACAACTATTTCAAAAAACAGAATAATTCATATAAAATTTATTTATAAAAATCAGGATTTGCCACTTGGCCAGCCAGGTTGGTTCAAGGTCTCAAGCTTTTCAGGCTAGCTAGTCTAACAACGAACGATGAATGTGATTGGAGTGTCCTCCAACGGAACGAACAGCTTCAGCATAAAACGGGAGAGAAGATGTTTTCAAAATGGCTAAGCAATTCGCATGAAAACATAAAAAGAGTTTACAGATGAATGGAAGATTTTGTCTCAATTTGGACGACAACTGAATGAAAAGCGAGCGAAGAAATGCTTTAATAAGCTTATCGGACTTGTTGATAAGCGAATTATTAAATAAAAAAAATTAATTTCGCTGAATGATAAAGATATAGGAGAAGAGAGACGAGTTCATCACTTGGGTGTTATGACGATGGTAATGCTTGGAGGTAAATGAGAGAAAACGGATGAGAAGACAGGAAACAGACTGCACCCGATGTGGACGGAGGGCAAACTGAATTTGAAAAGATGAAGGAAGATTCGAAGAAGGAAGCAAAAAATGAATAAACCATATAAGGTCAATTGAAAAGACATAGTTATGATAAAGGGTAGAAGACATCATGGATTAAGATATGAAGTATAAACTGCGAGAGACATAGAGGAAAGGAATAAAAATTGATTAAGTAAATTATACGAGAGAAGATAAATGAAAAAAAAGAAGGGAAGAAGAGAAAGAGAGAGAACGTTTGGGGGTAAGAAAACAGCTAACAGCTAGACAATTTTCTTGTCATGATAGCCTCCAAGTATGGGCAGTAAAAGGTTCAAAGCAGTTTTGCAGACAACGGCTGACCAGAACTGGCTAATGTCCTTCTGAGTGTCCCTCGATTCTTCGATTCAACTTCAATTTTCAAACTAATGTTAGTAGGCGCGGCAAGTTGAAGATTTATCTTCTCAGAGCATTTTCACGTAAACTGCAGAAGATTGCCAAAGACAAGAAGACCGAGAGAGGGGGGGAGAGTAAAGGAAGAGACAAAGTGATAGAGAGACAGAGAGGGGTGGGGAGAAGTAAGAGGAGAAAAAAAGTTTTAAAAATTATAAAAAAGAATTCAGGATTGGAAATTAATTGAAAAGTACATGAGAGTCTCACAGAGTTGACGAAAAATGGAAGAATTCTAATCCAATGGAAGCTAAAGATGAATGTGGTTGAAAAGAAATTTAGATTAAGATGTTCAAAACTAATTTAAAATTATAAACATGCATAATCAGGAGAGTTTTATAAAATTTATGAGAAAAATAGGTTCGACTGAGATGAATTTCTGAAAATCAGAGGAGAGAGAGAGACAGATTTTGGAATTGAAAAAGTTTGACTCGAATTAGCCGTTCAGGCACAATAATTACATAACTGCGGATAGTATTTGTAAGAGGAGGGGTAGGAGGAGGAGGAGGAGGAAGAGGAGGAGGAGTAGTGGAAAAGAAAAAAGTTGGGAGGCCCCATTGCAATTCGAAGCAAAATGGAAGAAAAGAGGATAAAAAGACGGCAATTTTGGGAAAAAGAAAATGCATCTGTGGAATTTAATTTGGAAAGCTGAAGATGAAGATGAGAGGGAGATCGAAGCAAAAAAAGGTGAATAAACGATTATCAATTGACCAGGTTGAACCAATTCTAAGCTTCTACACATAAATGAAGACGCATCGATTAATAGAAATGGACGGACGCGTCCTAAAGACTTTAAAACTAGAACGGCTGATTAAATCAGTGAACGCAAAAAGCCTTGTATTCAAATTTTGGGCTGACAGTCGCCAACAGGTTTAGTCGAATCACTGGATCAACTTCAGACAAATTCGACTACGACATGTCCGCTGAACGTCCATGTGTTGGGAGACAGTAATGACAAGGCCCTCACAGACAAATTGCAATTAGAAATTTCAAATGTTCAAATCATCTTCTATGATTTACAGGGTACGGCTGGGGTCTAGTGGGGCGAGGGATAACTAGTGTTGCGCCTCTGAGTTTCGCAAAGTCAGCAATGAGAAGGCTAACGAGAGATGTATGATGATGGGTCGAAGGATGAATTCTCTAATTCTGGTCTTATTGGTAGGGAACTCTCTGGCTGACCGCTTGCAGTGATTGTGGGCTGTGTTATTGTGAGATTGTAATAAAAGTCGAAACGATTTCTTCTACACAAGAATCGAAAAGACTGGGTCGGGTCTGTCCATATCTGTTTCTACAAAGGAAAACATACGACACAAGCTTGGTTAATCCCCTTGAGACAGGAAAAAAACTGAGCGAATGTTGAGTTTACCTTGGTATTGGCAGACGAACAAGGAAAAGCTGCTACAGAACTCTATCATTCACACTTTCATCGTTCATCTCTTCTCTCGTTCTCTCTCTCTCTATCTCAGGATACTTCCGATTCATGGAGATTTATTTGATAATCAGCGGAAAAGATAAAATTCGATTAATCATGACTATGGCTTCAGCTATTCTCACTCGTTTTTGGAAAAAGTCAGACGTTGCCCGGCTCATGAAACTTTCATAGTTGGTTCCGTCGCTTCATGTAGACAAAATCAAAAAAATTATAATTGGTATTTGAACTCAAAAATTCGCTTGAAGCCAATTATATACCTAATGAAAAATTAATTTCAGCTCAAAAGGGTTTGAGTACGCACTTTACCCAGTTTTGAAGGAAAAAAACAAGCTTAGGAAGTCAAACTGTTGCCGGATTTGACGGAATAACATGTGACCTTCGCCCAAATTCAGGAGAAAATATAAGAGCTCGAAGAATTAGAATTCCATTTAGGGGACCATGAATGAAAAGAAAAGAGAATTTTGAAAGAGATAAGAGACAAAGACGTTGAGAGAGAATGGAGGTGTGCATATGGAGCAGAGAAACTTGAAAGGATAAAATAGAGGATAGAGAGAGAGGAGATGAATACCAGTGGGTGGTCGATCCGGCCTGATCGAACTGGCTGTGCGCGCCGAACTTGGAACCTAGGCGTGCAGAAGGGGAGGAGGCAAAAATTCGAAATCTAGATTTTTTCATCGTGGAGAAAGGCTTTCAAACGCTTACTCAAGGAATAGCTGACTGCCTAGTCTTTTAATGTGAATGTGAGCGACCGACCTGAAATCGCGTCCCCACTGAATTGGTGTAGTCGGGCGGCATTTCTGGGTCAAACATATTCGGTTCGAAACTAAACTGCGTTTGTCGAGGTCACCACCATCATTTCCTAAATCGTCTACGAAGGAATTAGGGATGCTTCAAGCAGCGACTCAAAATTACTTAGTGCATTATACGGCTCCTGAGCAAGCTCCAAACTCCGAAAGCTTGCAGGGTTCGGACCGCCCCTTCCACATAGCCGACTCTACCATCTTCCATGAAAGGATGTTTGCTCTTTCGGAAACTGTTTCGACTTGTGAAGTACGACCTTTCCAAATTCAAATTTCACAGTTTCTCAAAGAAATCGGAAAAGGATACAGCCAACATTTGAAAAAGCAAATGCTAAAACTCCAAAAAAAATCGGAAGAAGAAAATAAATCTAATAAGGTCGGATTTACATATATGGACCGACCACATTTAACGGAATCCAATGTTGAAAATTCAAACACACAAAAAAAAGAAAAGAAGACAACACAAACCTGAAACCCCCAACACGGAAGAGGTTGCTTGGAAAACTTTTTTTTATTTTAAACAATTCAAAAAACAACAAGACAAAATGCGTGATCACACTTTGACGTCTATAACAATAAAGAACATTTCACATCACAAATCATCCGAAAGGCAAAAACGGTTAACTAATGAGCAAAAAACTGTCCCCCAAAGAAAACAACAATAACAGAGAAATCCATCAGATAATATAACAAATTGTGAGAGAAATAGAAACCTTATAAAAATCTATAACAATCCGCTTACTTTTAGAACAAGAACTAGCATTCACCGTCTAGGTATAGTTAGCCTACTTCCATATCTTCCTCCTCATCCTGCAAATCCTAGACTTAAAACAATTTTTAAGTTTATCACCACAAACCTCATCATCGTCATCACTACTATCATCGTCGTCATTGGCATTGTTGCCACCTCTCCTTTGAGCAACATCATCATCAGAGCCGAAATCAACGTCTGCAAATAATTTCAGTTGCATCTCTAAAACAATATACTAACCATCATCATCATCATCATCGTCGTCGTCGTCATCCTTAAGTCCGAGAGCTTTTTCTCCCTCATCCCACCAGTCATCTTCACTGCTGGCTCCACTATCATCAGATCCTACTGATTCAAGATCGTCAAGGTCAGAATCAACTTCATCTGAAAAAACTGAGTGAGGAACTTCTTCGAAAAAGCATAATACCGTTATTGAATACAATCTGTGGTTGTAGAGATGGCCTAACTGTTGTATTGGTACGTCGTTCAATCTGAACATAGCCAGTTATTTCAGTTGAACAATGTCCAACAACTTGCCTGCTCTACAATAATTCCTAGTTTTCCTTGCAACATCAGAAGTTTTTGATAATTTCCGACACGGCCCTTCATCCATTCGAACAATCCTCCTAATTCATCATCCAAGTTTTGTTGCTGCAAGATAGCATCGAATTAATATATATAAATTACAAAGCATACTGTGGTCAAATAACTCATATGATGGGCAAGAACGCAATTAATCCATTGAATCCACGATCTCATTCTAAATGAAGACAATTAGTATTAAATATGTCCATAAGTACACGCTTACTCTAGAGGCGATCTTGATCTTAAACGATACTCAATGGCTTTCAGTAAAGGAACAACATTAGAAACTTGCATACAACGGATGGTCGACTATAATGAGAACAATAGGAAGGAAATCACAGAGCAAGCAACTTACATTAATAATATCCAATTTGTTTTCTTTCAGTACGCTGTCTATTTTAACATTGTCATTTGCCAATAAACCTTGAGTGAGTAGTACTGCTAAGGAAGATTCATTTCCATCTTTCGCATCCTTTTCTTGTTTCGCTCTGAAAGCCATAAACATACTCTTTCATGTATTGAACTAGACTCACATCTTAGATTCTTTCATCTTCACCAATTAGCAGCTGAAAAGCGCCTCTCGAGACTGAAAAAATTAAGTTTTACAATAATACAGATTCAAATTTTATAAATTTCACAGCCGATCATGCAAACACTTCAAATTAAAATAAAATGGAGACGTTTATTCTACCGTATGACATTGACCTGCGAATCTTAGATATTAGCAATGGAGCGCACTATCGTGCCGAGCATTATACTGGCGTGTGTATCCCCAGCTTGTATTGTAAAGCAGTAGCAATGGATTCAAGCTGTGCTTTCTGAAAAAAACTAAACTCTGAACGCAATTTCTATTTAAAACATTCTGATTCTTCTCATTTGATTTCGAAACTTCCAAATACAATTGCTTATCTCCATATTTCTATTCCAAACGCTTTCACTATTTCACAACTTCCATATTTCCTCATCAAAAGTCGAGTGTAAAGCTCTAAAAACAATAACACAGCCACATGATTCATTGAAATGAGATTATTTCCATGAACAATCGTTTCTTATCATTCGATGTCTTTTTTGTATCGTGAGTGGAAACGATAACAGTTCATTTCGGAGTAATCACACTCACAAAAAATGGAAAGAAGTCCTATGTTGTCCTCTAGAAGGAAGTTAAACATGAATTCAATTATTTTTCTTCTGCTGCTTTGTGTTTTTCTGCTTGACATAAGAGAAAAACAAAAACTTTGGGTTAACTATGTGTTTGCGTCCTATGGTTGTTGATCCTCGTCGTTCTCGTTGGCCCTCCCATACGGTCTATTAACAAGCCACTATTTCGACATTCCTCTTATTGTATGTCACAATTGCACAAGATTACATCAGGTTGTGCGTCCATTGACAACTTTGTCACCCAGACAACTAGGGCATCTTTCATGATATAAGACCACATGGGGTAAAGCTTGTATGCTTGGTAATGGCAAGCGCAGCGGCCGCGTTGCGCCATAGACACCGGTTCCAGCTGTTCGTTTGCTCATGTTTTTCTATGACGACGTCAACAATCCACGATTTTTTCTTATATTTCATTTCTTAACTCCTTTACCTTGAGATAACTCTTGTTAAACAGTTGTTTGCTCACATACTCGCGTAGAAATCTCAGATTTCTATCCAAGCTTCAAACTGACTTCACGTCCCAATTGATTGCCAAATTTCAGTTAGATGATAGATCGGTTGCAGTCCTAATTTAGTACTTTATTCGGTACAATTGTATAATACTCATCAATTATCATTCATTATGGATTTTATGATCTCGCAGTTCTGTGAGGAAGATTCACATCAAATATATAACACTACCCAGTAAGTTCATCGTCATCAACTTCCTTTCAACACAATTCTTTAAGTAACTCGGCTGATGCCAGTGTTCTGCTTACTAGCAATGAAGATGAATCAGACAATGATTACCAACTTCCTCCAGAAATGGAGTTGGGAAACATCGAGTACAAAGTGAGCTCTTGCTTCAAGTCATTCTATCCTAACTTCATCTGCTTTACAGGCTAAGCTTATAAATCCTTCTGCTTCTCGTTTACAGCATTTGATAACTCAAATGAAGTGGAGATTGAGAGAAGGTCAAGGCGAAGCGATATACGAGGTATGAAAGTTCTAGCCTTTGTCTTTGTACTTTGTAATTTCTTCTAGATGGGGGTTGAAGATGGAGGTAAGATGACAGGGCTAACAAACGCTGAGTTGGAAGCTTCGTTATCTACCCTGAACGCCATGACTAATGCACTTGATGCCAGTATGGTCATTGTGAGTGTATTTTATGATCGTTTACCTACTTTTATTTTGGTCTTTTTTGTCTTTATGTACTTATTGCTTGTTTTGAAGATGACTGAACGCGATGTAACACCACGTGGTTCCAAGTCGAGAAGAACAGTTGTCGAAATTTTGGTTCGAAAAGTTCCTGAGTGCCAAGAGTTCATTGAAATCCGGTAAACTATTAAAGGAAACAACGTGTGAATGAAAGAATCCATATATAGATTAGCGGTTTTGGGAAGCATGGACGTGGGAAAATCGACACTGTGCGGTGTTATGACACAGGGTGTCCTTGATGATGGGAACGGAAAAGCACGGCAGAACCTGTTCAGGTATGTCTTGGAAATTAAATTTTGATGAAACGATCTTTTAGATATCCTCACGAAGTAAGATCTGGGAAGACAAGTTCTGTTTGCCTTGACGTCATAGGATTTGATTCAAGAGGAAAGGTAGTAAATGAGTCCCGCGATAAAGGTTTATCAAGGAAGTTTATAGCTTGTGAACTATGCCAAGCACAACCCTGAGGAGATGGTAGAAAACTCAACAAAACTACTTACACTTATTGATCTTGCGGGTGATTCGAAGTATATGAAAACCACTATACAGGGACTATCCGGGTACAATCCTCATTTTGCTTGCTTGTGAGTTTTTCTCTTTTCCGTTTCGATTTACACTAGCTATCTCCAGATTGTTATCAGCTGAAACGGGTGCGACTGCCGTAACCAAAGAGCACTTAGGGTATGCTGCGGCATTGAATATTCCCGTATTCGTAATAATCACTAAGATTGATTTGGTTGACAAACAACAGTTGCTCCAGTTAGTTTTCGTTTCAAATGTTTTTCTGAATTTCTGATTTGTAGTGTCGTTCGAAGTGTGTCTCAACTTGTTTCTCGAGCTGGCATGGTTTGTAACCCGAAACGCATCAAGAACAAAAGAGATGCCATGAAGTATTTTTGAGTTGTCCTTCTCTGATCAGGTCTCCTATCTTGTAGATCAGCGGGTGAACTGGCTGCCAATGGAACTGTGCCTATACTTGGAGTATCTTCTGTCACCGGGGAAGGGTTCAAGTATCTTCGATACTTCCTCAATGTGTTGTCTCCTGCTGGTTCGTTCATGAACATTTGAGCGATCGTAAATAGATATCTTTTTAGGGTCTGCTTCATCACGACTAAAACTTGCAGACGAATCGCCATTGTTTATAATGGAGGAGATGTATAACGTACCTCACGTAAGATTTTATAGAACTCTTAAATTTTTATTCCTTCCTTTGTAGGTCGGAACTGTTGTTTACGGTATGCTATCACAAGGTCGGCTCCAGGAAGGGGATACGATGTTCGTTGGACCTCTGAGAGATGGGACTTATGAGAAGGCACAAGTTCGTACAATACGTCGTAGTAAACAGCCTGTCAGGGCAATTCTACCGGGACAAGCAGCTACTATAGCTCTGACGATACTCTCAGCTGACAATGTTCCACTGAGAAGAGTAAGTGTTGTGCAATGATAAACGGATATGAGTGATATGTTTAGGGCATGGTGCTGATTCATTGTACAGAAGTTCCTACAAGTTGTCTCCGTTTCAAAGCAAATCTCTTTTTGCTTTGTCATCCGGCTAGACAGCTCAGTACTGGTTTTCAAGCAACAGGTTTGTACAATCATAACTTCTTGACTTACATTTTATCAATTTAGTCTACATCGGATCCGTCTGCCAAACCGCTACCATTGTAGAAATCGATAGAGATAGTCTGAAGCAGGGCAAATGGGCCAATGTCGTTTTCGAGTTTTATTGTCATCCAGAATATGTACAGGTTGGGACTCCTTTGATCTTCCGGCAAGGAAAAACCAAGGGAATGGGAGAAGTAACCGATGTTTCAAATTGAAACGCTTTTTTTTTTGTAAGTAGTTGTATTAGCAGCTAGGCTTATCTCAATACTGCCGCGGTCGAAATTCAGGTCCTTTTTTGGGTAGTGTATTGTGTTGTATGTAGTAGGTGACTCATTTTTTTCTGAGCTCGTGTATAATAATTGTAAATAGATGTAGATAGCGTTATTTTCTGCTTGCGGGACAGCAGAAACTGCATTTCCTTCTTTAAGGATGACCTCATGTTTGATTTCTAGGAACCATTGGTTCTCTTTTTTTTAGTTCGAAGGTTTAGTTTCATTGCATTTAATGTTTTGTTTATGATTCAATTGATTTTATATAAATATTCTCCCCCCATATCACTCTTTATTAATTATTACATTATATGTGTATGTATGCGTATGTGTGATGTGCTCTTTGAACGAACATCTTTGTGCAACTGACGGTGTATGAGTTTATGCGAAGAAGAGACAGCGGCAGATGAACAAATCAACAGATTTTCAGTTGATTAATTACAACTCTTCCGATGGAGCTGCTCATCATTGAACTACGAATGAGCACCTGGATACTCAGATATGCATATCTTCAGAATGCTAGACAGCATCAGTTACATCAAGAGCATTGGAAGCACTTCCATATAACTGGATACTTCGCATACTATTTATTACCAACTTCTCAGCCATTTTTCTGCAAAAGTGTTAAGATTTAGCACAACGTAGCAGATCAACAAAAAAAGAGAAGAGAAGAGCTTAAGAGATATTAGATTAGAGAATAAGATCGTGCCACTGACCAGTGAGGAATGTGATGTCAGCTGTTCTTTAACGACTCGATCACTGGTTTCTTTAAGGTTATATTTAGAAGGCTTGGGAGAAGGCCAAGGTGTTGAACCTGTTTGTCTTTTCTATATTGTTATTTCAATCTCATTTTCTCTCTGAGTCTAAAAAAACTTGAAACAAAGAGTAACATCCTGGTAGTAACAAAACAAAACTAAAAAGAAAAAGCAACCGTTCCGTGCGAGCGCAATGTACCATAATGATAAACCCTCCTCAGAGATTCACGTGTTTCACGTAACGTGAGTCTACGTACAAGTTATTATAATCCCGCGCACATAGTTATAAACAAATGGATCTAATGAGAATTATAATAAGAAATCTAAAAGCATTTGAAATGACTAACATGAGATTATGACCCGTCGATCTGCTATTAGAGTTTAAAAATTCTCGAAATATAACTGAATGTAATTTCGCTACATCTCCTTCTATTGTTGCTTAGCTTCTTTCTTTTTGCTTCTTTATCACTCCCCCGCTTTCCCAATGGCAATATAGCTCTGCCACGCCCTCGCATCTGCTGATCCCACTGTCAACTCTTAGAGTTGCCGTCTGTCTCTATAATTTAGCCTTTATGCCTTCTTATTTCTCTTTTTCTTATTACCTTCTTATCTTACGAGCTCTTTTTATTTTAAATATCTCTATCTGTTCTCCTCCCTTGTTAATTCACAACCTCTATCCTTTGCTTCTCTGCTACAGCTTCTTCTTTCCTTTCTCTCGGATTCGGTATCTCTTGTCTGCTCGGCTTTCTAGGTGGTGAGAGCCTGCACAGAAAACAAATCATTATTCTGTCTGAACTTTCGTCGATAAGTTACTGAAATTTTTCAATTTATTTAATATTATCGTTAACAAACTCTTTCATTGCTTTCTTTCAAGAAAGTATGTTGCAAACCTCATACGAACTCTAGTGCTCACTCCTATCATTACATCTATACACGTATCTCAATCGTCTCAGATGATTAAAACGTTTCATAGGCTTCCGGAGACTCCTTCATCTAGAAGTCAGATTGTTCTCATATATTTTTATCCTCCAACTTCCATCAAAATAGATTTCATCCAATCATTTTCATCTTGAAAATACAATTGAAACATCTCGTTGTATGAATTGTCTGTTTGTGTGTGTTGTATGTATCTTTTATTTTATATCGTAAATGCCTCAGGCTATCTCCTTTAACCATCAGTTCCATCTAACATCTTTTTAAAACTCTTCACTCTGCTTCTTCAATTATTTTTTTCCCTAAAGTATATAGATTTAGAGACAATCATACCTTTTTACAGAATGGCTGATCATTTTGAAAACGATCCGGGATTTATATATCTCGGTATTTCCCGTGAAGCTCGCGCCACTATGGCTGCGAGACCTTTCGATTCTAAGAAGAACTGCTGGGTACCTGATCCAGAAGATGGTAAGTTCTCTATAAATTCAAAAATTGGAATGAGAAAGCCCTTATCCAACTCGAGAAATCATCATTTCTGACCAAACCACTCATTTCATTCAAAACATCATCCCACTTTTTGTAGTTTACTTGTTGTGAGAGTATATCCGTTGTACTAGTCAAAGACAAATCAAAGATGAGTTCTTTTCATAAAACATCTGGAAGTAGTTAGAAGATGATGAATATGCCACTAGTATTGTACTTTCATATCCTTTTAACTACATCAAGAAGTCTCTTGAACTCCTTAACAGGGGGGTTTATAGTTTGATTTATCAATTACATCAATACTATGACCGAGTAGGATCGATTTCACTCATTTCCGTGCTTTGCTCGCGACAACTTTTGAAAGGATAGCAGTTATTTTCATCTTTTGAAATTGGATATGGCGAACACCGACTGACCAATCAAACTCTTCTCCACAACAATATACAAAAAAAATATTTGCCTTATAAGGTTGTTTGACTCTGTACTCTCTCATGGAGTGACATAGGTATCATTAGTATTACGTCAATCTTTGAATCTTTTGCGGAGGATTGAGTTTAGGTAAAATGATTGTTCAAATGTTGAAAGAGAAAGTGTAGGCGATAGAACTATAAGAAGTGATGGAATTGCTTTACACATAGTCTCTTCTCAGCCGAAGATGTGCCACAGTTTCTTAACTTCGCATCCCGTCCATATCTTTTCTGCTGCCTACGCAAAAGCAAGATAGAATAGTAAGAAAGTGATTAGAGAGAGATATAAAGAGGCAATATGAGAGAGAAATAGAGAATCAGAAGAGAAAGGAATGAGATGAAGTATACAGTGGAATAAGCGGAGGATAACAAGACGAATTGATGACTTGACGGAGTGAATTCAGAAACGTTTTTGAAATTAAAACAGTTGACGTTCAGGTTGAAGACCAAAAAACAACAAAGAGTTAAGATTTCCCAAAACATACATAGTATCCCCCCCATCCAAACCCTTTGAAAGGAAATGAGAGGACATGTTATGTGTATAACACCATTGAACGTTTTTTAGGCTTCATTGCCGCCGAAATCCAATCAACTGAAGGAGATCAGGTCACAGTTGTTACTGCTAAGGGAAACCAGGTACATTACCAATCCAAGTGCTCAGAGAGGTCAAAGCCTAGACGATACGTCTACTTATTCATAAAATTTCACAAAAATACTGAGTGATGTTTGTTCTCTAGTCATTGCTTTCTCGAAATCTGGCATTACATTTCTTACATTTCATCAGATCCATCTGCCGTAAGAGTTCGAGTTGACAACGCACCGAATCATTTCAGAATTTTCATCTCATTCCATCTCATTCTCTATCCTCCATTCTCTTGCTTGCTTTATAAAATTGTCTAACAATCTCATATTTTACTTAATGTATCTTCTTTTTCGGCCCATTCAGTGGCCAACTGGCCGATGGCTGACTGCTTGGGTTCAAAGAAATGACAGGAATGATACGAGATGATGATGATGATGCATTTTCTGTTGTTTACGGCAAATCATGTGCTTCTTGCGCAATTTTCTATTGCAGCATTGAGCTGCAAGTGTAAAAAAGCGTGATATGTGGTCCACAAATGAGAAATGAGTAGGAGGACTGAGAAATGATCATCCACTAAAGAAATCAGAACAGTTGCTGCTCATGCACTTGAAATCCTTCATAGAATGTTTGGGTCCGTAAATCTTCTAATGGTGATAAGATGAAAAAAAGGTTTATGATGTGAAATATGAATAAGTAGCGTGTCCGAGGTAATACCAACAATGAGCTGGAATGATAACAACGATGATTCAACTAAGGATGTCTTTAGATCGTTGTCAAGAAGGATGAAGCTCAGGAAATGAATCCTCCCAAGTACGATAAGACCGAAGATATGGCTAACTTGACTTTCCTCAACGAAGCTTCCGTCCTCAATAACTTGAAGGACCGTTATAAGGATATGATGATCTACGTGAGACTAAGCAAAGATTTGCTCTCAATCAATAATATGTGTTCAGACATACTCCGGACTTTTCTGTGTTGTAATCAATCCTTACAAGCGTCTCCCCATTTACAGTGAAAGTGTCATCAAGCACTACATGGGAAAGAGAAGAAACGAGATGCCACCTCATCTTTTCGCCACCACTGATGAGGCTTACAGAAATATGGTCCAAGGTTATCATGTTACACACATCCAATCAAACCGTATATTCCTTTAAGACAAGGAAAATCAGTCCATGCTCATTACTGGAGAATCAGGAGCCGGTAAAACCGAAAACACAAAGAAAGTAATTTCTTACTTTGCTGTCGTCGGAGCCAGTCAAAGTGGAAATGCCAAAGAGGATGGTAAGAAGGGAGTAAGTGTTTGCACCTAGTATTCTTTTGATAATCATTATCTGAATAGGGAACCCTCGAAGAGCAAATTGTACAAACCAATCCTGTACTCGAAGCTTTCGGAAACGCTAAGACTGTTCGTAACAACAACTCTTCTCGTTTCGGAAAGTTCATTAGAACTCATTTCTCCGCCTCAGGAAAGTTAGCTGGAGGAGATATCGAACATTGTAAGAAAATCCAGAGGAGTACCTTAGCAACACAACTGTATCTTCAGATCTCTTAGAAAAATCTCGTGTAGTTCGTCAAGCTGCAGGAGAAAGATGTTACCACATCTTCTATCAAATTATGTCTGGATTCGACCCCAGTCTTCGCGGTATGTCATATAGATTGGTGTATTTTAAGTATCTTACTGTTGTTCAGAGAAGTTGAAGCTCACAAACGACATTTCCTACTATCACTTCTGTTCTCAAGCCGAATTGACCATTGAAGGAGTTAACGATCAAGAAGAAATGGGTCTCACTGCTGTAAGAAGTTCTTGATGTTTATTCAGCTGAATGGGTATTTTAAGGAAGCTTTCAACATCATGGGCTTTGAAGACTTCGAAGTAATGGATCTCTACCGTGCTTGTGCTGGTATCATGCACATGGGAGAGATGAAGTTCAAGCAGAGACCACGTGAAGAGCAAGCTGAAGCTGATGGTGAAGATGATGCTATCAATGCTGCCCTCAATCTTGGTGTCAACCACGAAGAATTCTTGAAAGCTTTGACCAAGCCAAGAGTACGTGTAGGAACTGAATGGGTAAACAAAGGACAAAACTTGGAACAAGTCAACTGGGCTGTTTCTGGATTGGCCAAGGCTATCTACGCCCGTATGTTCAAGTGGATCATCAACAGGTATGAAAAACAGTAGAATAACTTACACAACTGCGTTCTTCAGATGTAACAAAACTCTTGATGCTAAGGAGATCGAGCGTCGCTTCTTCATCGGAGTCTTGGATATTGCTGGATTCGAAATCTTCGACGTAAACATAATCTAAGATAATGGCTTATTAACTTCTTTGTTTAGTTCAATTCTTTCGAACAACTTTGGATTAACTTCGTAAACGAGCGTCTCCAACAGTTCTTCAACCACCACATGTTCGTACTCGAACAAGAAGAGTACAAGCGTGAAGGAATTCAATGGACTTTCATTGATTTCGGACTCGATCTTCAAGCTTGTATCGAGCTCATTGAGAAGGTAAAACACAGATTTGGTGCTGATTCACTGACCGTCACACTTTTAGCCTCTTGGTATCATCTCTATTCTCGATGAAGAATGTATCGTTCCAAAGGCTTCTGACATGACCTATGTCCAGAAGCTCTTGGATCAACATCTTGGAAAGCACCCCAACTTCCAAAAGCCCAAGCCACCTAAAGGCAAACAAGCCGAGGCTCACTTTGCCATCGTCCACTACGCTGGAACTGTCCGTTACAACGGTACCAACTTCTTGGAGAAGAACAAGGATCCTCTTAACGATACTGCTGTTGCTCTCTTGAAGCACGGAGAGGGAGTCAAACTCATGCTTGACATCTGGGAGGATTACCAAACTCAAGAGGAAGCTGCTGAGGCTGCTAAGGCTGGAACTGGAGGAGCCAAGAAGAAGGTGAGATGTACTCAGGGTACTTAATCTAATCAAAATATCTTAAGGGTAAATCCTCTTCTTTCATGACTGTCTCTATGATCTACAGAGAGTCTTTGAACAACCTCATGAACATGTTGTACCAAACCCATCCTCACTTCATCCGTTGTATCATCCCCAACGAGAAGAAGCTTTCAGGTTTTTTTGGAGTATATCAACATTACTTATCTATAACCTATTAAGGTTACATCGACTCTGCTCTCGTTTTGAACCAGCTCACTTGCAACGGAGTACTGGAAGGTATCCGTATTTGCAGAAAGGGATTCCCCAACAGAATGCTTTACGACGACTTCAAGCATCGGTAAGACATAACAAAACATCTCGCAGGAGCCTCATAATTTTCAGTTACGCCATCCTGGCCGCTGATGCCGCTAAAGATTCTGATGTCAAGAAGGCCTCTACTGGAATTCTCGACAAACTCGCCAACGAAGGATCTCTCAGTGATGAAGAATTCAAAGTCGGAAACACCAAGGTGGAATCTATGATCCCTGCCATTTTTTATACTTATCCTTTCTAGGTGTTCTTCAAGGCTGGTATCCTCGCTCGTCTTGAGGATCTCCGTGACGAGATTCTCGCTAAGATCATGACTATGCTCCAGAGCAGAGTCAGGTAATACTGTCATATTAACAAAACATCTTACTCCGTGTGTTACAGATACTACTTGGCCCAAAACGAAGTTAGACGTCGTCAAGATCAACAGTCTGGACTTCTTGTTGTTCAACGCAACGTTCGCTCTTGGTGCACTCTTCGTACCTGGGATTGGTTCAAGCTTTACGGAAAGGTTTGTAAAGATTTTATATAACGACAGCAAATGAGTAGCAATTCTCAAGATGCTTAGTTCACATCGCAGTTTTTTTTGACTTGCCCCCTCATTAGAGTTCCAGATGTTCTTAAGAAATGAGACGTTCGCTCTTTCTCAATATATGTTTCGTAACATAAGCTGATGCTAAAATTATACTCCTTGTCTTACGTTTATACATTTTCCGTTTTAAGGTCAAGCCAATGCTCAAGGCCGACAAGGAACAAGAAGCTGTCGGAGCTCTTGCCGAGAAGATCAAGGGACTCGAGGAAGCCGTTGCCAGAGGTGAAATCGTTCGTGCTGAACTGGAAACTAAGGTTTGACATTTTTTGGGATGGTATCCTAATCATCAATATCAGGTTGCCGATTTGGTTGAAGAAAAGAACCAGCTCTTCTCCTCTCTCGAAAAGGAGAAGGCTAATCTCCAAGAGAGCGAGGAGAGAAACCAAAAGCTTCAGCAAATCAAGGCCGATCTCGATCGCCAATTGAACGATGTTCAAGACCGTCTTGCTGATATGGAGGAGAGAAATAACGATCTCCTGAGACAGAAGAAGAAGCAAGAACAAGAAATCTCTGATGCTAAGAAGCATGCTCAGGATCTTGAACTCTCTTTGAAGAAGGCTGAGAGCGAGAAACAAGTGAGTTTTAGCACTTTTTTTGTAAACGATAAAATATAATTTGCAGTCTCGTGATCACAACATTCGTTCTCTTCAAGACGAGATGGCTAACCTCGATGAGAATGTAGCCAGACTCAACAAAGAGAAGAAGCACCAGGAAGAAGTCAACCGCAAGCTCTTGGAAGACTTACAAGCTGAAGAGGATCGCGTAAACCACATGGAAAAAGTATGTTGAAAGAATGACAAGTTGCAAAATTATCTCTCTCCTATAGTTACGCTCCAAGCTCGAAACTCAACTCGACGATGTTGAAGATACCATGGATCGTGAGAAGAGAAACCGCCAAGACTTAGAGAAGGCTAAGAGAAAGGTAGAAGGTGAACTCAAAGTTTCCCAGGAGACCGTTGATGAGATCACTAAGCAGAAGCACGATATCGAGAACAACCTCAAAAAGTATAGATGTTGAAAAGCACTTTTTGTATTAAAACTGTTAATTTCAGGAAGGAAACCGAACTTCATCATGTTGCTAGCAAGCTCGAAGAAGAGCAAGCTATTGCTTCCAAGCTTCAACGCCAAATCAAGGAACTTCAAGCTCGCATTCAAGAGCTTGAGGAAGAACTTGAGAACGAACGTCAGAGCCGTTCCAAATCTGACCGCTCTCGTGCTGAGCTCCAACGTGAACTTGAGGAGATCACTGAGCGCCTCGAAGAACAAGGAGGAGCTACAGCTGTTCAAATCGAAGCCAATAAGAAACGTGAAGCTGAGCTTGCTAAGCTTCGTCGTGATCTTGAAGAATCTTCTCTTAACCACGAAACTCAAGTATCCAGCCTTCGTAAGAAGCATAATGATGCTGTATCCGAATTGACCGACCAACTTGAGACAATTCAAAAGTTGAAAGCCAAGGGAGATAAGGATCGTGCTCAACTCCAGCGCGATTTCGAATCTGCTCAAGCCAATGTTGATAGCGAGAACCGTGCTCGTCAAGATGTAGAAAAGGCTTTGAAGACTTTGGAAGTTCAGTATGCTGAAATTCAAACTAAGGCTGATGAACAAGCACGTCAACTCAATGACTTTGCCTCCCTCAAGAACCGTTTGAATAATGAGAACGGAGACCTTGGAAGACAACTTGAAGACTTGGAAGGACAATTGAATGGCGTCCATCGCATCAAGGCTCAGCTCCACAGTCAACTTGATGAGACTAAGAGAAACCTTGACGAAGAAACCCGTGAACGTCAAGCTCTTGCTGCCCAAGCTAAGAACTTCGAGCACGAGAACGACAGCCTTCGCGAGCAATTGGATGAAGAGCAAGAAGCCAAGGCAGAGCTTTTGAGACAAATCAGCAAGCAAAACGCTGAAATCCAGCAATGGAAAGCCAAGTTCGAAAGCGAAGGATTGGCTAAGTTGGATGAAATCGAAGAAGCCAAGAAGAAGTTGCAACTCAAAGTTCAAGAGCTTTCTGATGCCAACGAAACAGCTTTCGCCAAGATTGGTAGCTTAGAGAAGGTTCGTCATAAGCTCATGCAAGACTTGGATGATGCTCAAGTTGACGTTGAACGTGCTGCTGCTTACGCCGCTGCTTTGGAGAAGAAACAGAAAGGATTCGACAGAATCATCGACGAATGGAAGAAGAAGTCGGATGATCTCTCCGCTGAACTTGATGCAGCTCAGAGAGACAACCGTAACTTGGCTACCGATTTGTTCAAGGCCAAGACTATCCAGGACGAACTTGCCGAGCATGTCGAATCCGTTCGTCGTGAGAACAAGCAACTCGCTCAGGAAGTCAAGGACTTGACTGACCAACTTGGAGAAGGAGGACGGTAAGTGAAAGTCAAGTGTGAGAAATATTATTCTTTCATTTTAGTTCCGTTCACGAGCTCCAGAAGATTGTCAGACGCTTGGAAGTTGAGAAGGAGGAACTCCAAAAGGGTCTCGATGAGGCCGAAGCTGCCTTGGAAGCTGAAGAAGCCAAGGTTCTTCGTGCTCAAATCGAAGTTTCTCAAATCCGCTCCGAAATCGAGAAGCGTATCCAAGAGAAGGAGGAAGAATTCGAGAACACCCGTAAGAACCACCAACGTGCTCTTGAGTCTATGCAAACCACCCTCGAAGCCGAAGTTAAGCACAAGGAAGAGGCTCTTAGAATCAAGAAGAAACTCGAAAGCGATATCAACGTGAGTAAACACTGACCATAAACTACTTTAACCATTTCATTTAAGGAACTCGAGATAGCTCTTGATCATGCCAACAGAGCTAATGCTGATGCTCAGAAGACTATCAAGAAGTACATGGAAACTGTTCGTGAACTCCAAATCCAAGTTGAAGAGGAACAGAGACAGAAGGACGAGATCAGAGAATGCTTCCTTGCCTCAGAGAAGAGAAATGCTCTTCTCCAACAAGAAAAGGAGGAGCTTCACCAGCAGGTCCGAATCATATTGCAACATGCCATAAATTGTCTAATCTTCAGGCTGAAGCCGCCGAGAGAGCTCGTCGCAATGCTGAGGCTGAATTGATTGACCTCCGTGAACAATTCAATGATGCCTCTGCTCAGCTTAACGCTATCATTGGAATCAAGAGAAAGATCGAAGGAGAACTCCAAGCCATGCACGTGAGTAAAAAAGCCTAAAGAGTTAGCAACATTCTCTATTTCCAGGCCGAACTTGATGAAGCTTTGGTTGAGCTCAAGAATGCCGATGAAATCGGAAAGAAGGCCGCTGCTGATGCTGCCCGACTTGCTGAAGAATTACGTCAAGAACAAGAACACAGCATGCACATCGAGAGAATCCGTAAAGGTCTTGAAATCCAGATCAAGGAGATGCAAGTTAGATTGGACGAAGCTGAGGCTGCTGCATTGAAGGGAGGAAAGAAGATCATTGCTCAACTCGAGACCCGCATCAGAAGCTTAGAACAAGACTTGGACGGAGAGATGAGGTGCGAACACTTTCTCTTTCAGTTCTGAAAAATGTGTTTAGACGCCATCAAGATACTGACAAGAACTACCGCAAATCCGAACGACGTGTTAAGGAGCTTGAATTCCAACTTGAAGAAGATAAGAAGAATGTCGAACGACTCACTGACTTGATCGACAAGCTCCAAGCTAAATTGAAGGTCTTCAAGAGACAAGCTGAAGAAGCTGTAAGTTTTATGAAATCAGTTAAAAATCATAACATCATGATATAGGAAGAGGTAGCTGCCACCAACCTCGGAAAGTACAAGCAACTTCTCGCCCAACTCGAAGATTCCGAAGAGAGAGCCGAGATTGCTGAAAATGCCTTGAGTAAAATGCGTAATAAGATCCGTGCTAGCGCCAGTGTAGCTCCAACAGGAGGATTGCTTCAATCCGCTAGCAGTGCTGTGATGAGGAGTACCTCATTCGCCCGCGATTTCTAAATCATCTTTTTTTCTTAAAATAAATGTTTTCCCCACCTGAGAGTACATGTTTACTCCACTAATTGCATCAAATTATCAGCCTAATCTCATTGCTTTCATGGAGAAGCCATTTATCTTATCAAATGTTTCTTTTTTTCTTTTTTTTTCAAAACCTATTCCGCTGTTATGTCCGAATAATTCTATACGTGAACCTTTGTTGCAGCCATTACATACTCCGTCCAAACTATATTCTTTTCGTTTTCAAAACCATGCTGAGTAACCTCTAGTCAATTGTATTATATTATGGTATGCAATAAAGTGTTCTCAATAATCTATATTGATCAAGAGATCGGAAAAAGATCCGTTGCTAACTGTAACATGAACTACTCACTCTTCAACAGACCACTGAACCTCCAAGACAACGAATGCATGGCTTGTGGATTGATGTTTGCATATGTTTTCGACAACCTCAAAGAAGAGTCAGTCCTGAACATTCTCCACAAAAGTGTTGAAAGGAATAGTCATCCTCACCAGGATAACATCAATACTCACTTCTTACTCTTCAGAATCTGAAGCCAATAACCATGTGTGAGAGAGCCCGCGATGCAAGAAGCGATATATGCAACTCGGCAGACAATGAGAGCTCAGGTCATACAGTCTTCATTCTTGAGCCGATAATCTTTGGCGGCCTCAATATAGCCAATTATGGTCTTGCAAGTCCATCAAATCTTTCAAGCAGACAAAGACAGTTATCGTCAATGAACTCATAAGCCTACAATTCGTAACTTGTCAACCGAAAAACAACAAAGACGAGAAAAAAAAACTTTCCCTTTGTCTGCGACTGCCATTACTGCACTCCTCACCTATATTTGGATAATAATCCGTATGCTTTAAGAGGAGCGTCAAAGAGGTCAAGAAATTCAAAACTTTGGTGATGTTGTTCCTTCTCTTCCATCGATACCGTAACCTGCTTTCTCCCTTCCTCGTGTATTACAATCGGTTAAATATTTCGGCCTTTTTCATCGGAAAAGACGGTAGCTAATACGATTTGCATATGTAAATACACTCGAATAACATCTAAACTGATGCCGATTTCACACCTGTGTAGCTTAAAAGGTCATATAAGGTTGCAAACATTGACACTTGGTCACAGGCTCTGACGAAGATGAGGTTAGTGATCACATAGAGACGGTATTGAACTACCTGAACGAATGAGAGTTCTGAGCATGAAGGAAGACATAGACTGATCTAAACACTTGAAGAAGTATTCTTGTTGATCCCCTCTGGATCAATGCTGCTAGCTCTGGAAACACTTGTAAACTACAAAATACGTTGTACCTATCAATTGATTAACACATCCAATGCAGCAATTGGTTCTTCATGTTCTCATGCTCCTCTTCTGATGTCACCTCTGAAAACAGTACTCCATGGCTGGAATCTCTCCCTCCCCTTCCTCATACAGATATCTTGAACGTCCCCCCACGTGATAGAAAAGGAAAAACTATAAGGTTGTGAAGAATATTATTTGTTGCAAGAAGCTAAGGTATGATAACAATAAACAATGTGATTATATAACATTCCGAGATAACAGAAATGCTTCCTTTGATACATTTGCTCATCCGATGAGATGAGAATGAAGTCATGAGGATGCAGACGTTACAACTACACGTGCACATTAACCGAGATGAAAAAGATGATTAAAACAATAAATTAATCAAAAACAATCTTTTCTAATGTAATTATATACATCGAGAAATTAAACTTTAGAGTGTATAAAACAGAAATTATTAGCTTTTCCTCTCTTTAAAGCAATTCAGAGACCGAATGATACAAGCTTGAACAGAAGTTCTGAAGTTATTCTACCTTGTTGTCCTAGTTAAACCCTAATCAAAGTATATATATAGCGAAGTGAAGAGCATGCATGAGATCGAATACGTAAATATATGGTTTTATGTCCAAAAGCTTATCCCAAACATAGCTTACAACTTTGGACAGCTTTTATCCAGAGCTTTGGATACTAATGGATCCAGTGAGCTTGTGGATGTCATGTTGTCGCCACAAGGGCTTATAGAACTTCTTCGTTCTAATTCTACGTACTTCACATCTCCGAATAGGGCTGGTCGAGCTGACAATGTTGGCACAGTGTTCGATTGATAATATGGTGGCGGAGCATCCTTAAATGGCCTGTCACGTAAATCAATCTGAAATGAAGGCGAATGAGTCCCTAATCTGTCTATCAAAAACCATATTCTGTCAATTTTCAATTTGAGAGAAAGAGGAAAATGGGGAGATGAAAATAAAAAGCAAAAACCCGAAACTGGGTGGAGGGCAGAGAGATCGGTGAGATAATAAGACCACCCGCCGGGTGCCCATGTCTTATCGTCGGCTTTCTTTCAATTATATTGAAATTCCTATATACAGCGCGAGAAAGGAAGAATACGAATCGCTTATTTGATAAATTCTCATCATGTCAGAGATAAAGTGAAGTTCGTTACGAATACAAGTACCTTACCTTGTAAATGGTTGGGGTGGAGAGGTTTGAAGGCCTTGAGCGCTGACTACTCAGTTGAATGACTCTGCGGGACAGGACGAAGAAGCCTAACACTAATACCAGGAAAGATAAGGTTAGTGAAATCATGCCTGAAATGTAAAAATATTTTAAAATCCATATTAGGGGAAAGGCAGATGGTCTTACCCAATAGAAGCAAAGGCCCCTTCGATTCCTTGTTCTTCTCCTTTTCAATTGTCACATATGATCGGGATGATGCAAAATTTTTGGATTCTTTAAGCAAGCACTCCTGATTAACAATGGAACAGAATGGACCAGAATAGCATGGGGAAGAACATTGACAGAGGGCTTCAGAACGATGACGTCCACATGTTGCACCATTTCTGTAAAGAAACAATGAGTTATCCATTTTGAAAATTCCTGAGATTACTGTAGCCGATTGAAAAGCTCAAGCAACGACAAGATATCTTAAAACATAAAAACTTACTGGCAAGGATTTTTTGCGCAAGGATCGTATCCGAGTTCGAATTTAGAGACATCATACTGACAACGTGGTCCCACAAACCCAGAAGGGCATCGACACTGCAACGTGCTATTGCTGTTGGCTGCCATAACACATTCTCCTCCTGAAGTTGAAGCAAAATAAAAATCACGTCAATGTAATTGTAGCTATTAAATTTGAATAAACAACATTCTCAATGGCCTTTGTAATAGATCGAGGGAAGATTCCAAGCTGTGCAAAACTTTTTCCCGGGCAATCTCTCTCTCTCTCTCTCTTAACTCACTCTCAAACACACCAAACTCTTCCACTGCCTATAAAAAGCCCATTAATTCTTGTGAAATTAGGGTGGTCTATTGCTCTTATCTGACAGATTTCTTTTAACTTCTCCAACATCACATACGTCCTCAACCACTTAGAATCACTCTGTTCACTTGTTTTTGAGAAAAAAGGTATTTGCCAATGAGATTATCTCTATAGATTTCGCTACACAAGCCCATTAACCTCAAGGATAATGTTCTGACAGATTTTTCCGTTTTCAATCGAAATATTGCCTCCAGGACATCAAAAAGTCTTATCGGCAAGGTAAAAAAACAGACGGAAAAGGTTGAAACGCTTCCGAACAAGAGGTGTATGGCGTTCGATAGAAAGGAGCCTCAGCACTCACCATTATAGCAGATTTCGTTGTCGCCACAGTGTTGATCAGTCAATTTGGTCTCGCAGTTAGCTCCACCGAATCCAGAAGGGCAGGTACAAGTATATTCAACGCCTCGTCTTTGTCTGAAGAAGAACGAAATATAAGAAGTTTTTTGAAAAGGCAAAGAGAGGAAAATCATAAAATTCAAAGTCAAACAGGTTTTCAATAGTAATACCGTACCGTCGAGACAATCTTCCGTTCATGCAAGTCCCGCCATTTTGACATGGAGTATGATGACTACAGAAGTGAAGATCTGAAAAGAAGAGCGATTTAGAGTTGTGTTGTTCCCCACTTTCTCGTACCTTCATCGCAGAAATGACCTGTCCATCCAGCCTTGCAAGCACAAGTGAAAGGTTTGTTATTGGCGCAAGTTCCGTGAATACAATCCTCATGAGGAATACACTATGATCAAGAATCAATAGAAGTTTGAAATTCACTAATACTTACAACAGAGCATGATGAACCGGTGAATCCACTCTTACATGAACAGGTGTTGGGAGCAATACATGTTCCATTTACACATCCACTTTCGCAAACGGCTAAAAATCATATTGTTAATTGAACTTTTCCGAAATAGGTCATATGGAAGATAATATCATAACCCAATCAAAATCTTTTTAGATGAGGACGCTGGATGAAGAGGAACTGTATTCCTTCTTAACACCTGCACTTCCTCATAACTCGAATTCAAAACTGTGCAGCTGCACCCAAACTGTCACGCCGCATTAAGAATTTCACCCAATTTCTCAAACAAAAACTTTTTGCAAATTCTCGTTTGATGAAGGTTATGACAATTAGTTTAATAACTCACGTTCATTACAGTTCTGTCCTGTCCAGCCGTTTTTGCAAATCTTCTCCCCTTGACTGCCACAAGTATAATGACCAGAGAAGTTGTCTCTCTCAATGCACATAACTTTACACTGAGAGCCATAGAAAGATCTGGAACATCATTATGATGTTGAAGAATCAAAATATGATATTCTCACTCTTGACATTCGAAACGATAGCTGACATTAAAACCATTTGGATATTCATTAGTCCAATCTTGTCCTGCAGCTACTGGTCCACGCCATGCCATTCCACCAATACGTTCTGGAATCATTGTTATCATACTATGATAGAACAATAAATCAATAAGTTGGTCCAGAAATTACTCAATTCATTTACAACCACAGTTTCCGTGCGGTATTTCCATCAAAAAAACCTTTTATGACCTTCTGACATGCGTCTGTTGTTTGCAGACGGTGATAATGGGGAGGCATGGTTTGAGGACTATCACTTCATCGTTATTTTCTTATACCCAAACAAGGTTAGAAAGCAACAGCAGGTGTTAAGAGGGACATGTTTAGTAGATGAAGTCGTAAAATGCAGATGTATTCCATATAAGTCAAAGGAGTTATCTCCTCAATCTTAAAGAATACCCAGCATATTACTGACTACAGGAAAACGTATAGCAAGAGAGCATGATGGTCGAAGAGGATATGAGAAAGAGCGAACACCTAGTAAACTCAACTTCCATATAAAGAGCAATGTAATTCACAGCTAGTCTTATATGTATATGCTAATGAGATACGAGCAATATGCTAATTGATACAACACATATCTAATGAGAATGAGTATTACCTTCTTTTCCATTGAAACCGTCAACGATGATTGAGATGTTCACAGGCCAAATGCCTATGAAAGGTATTTGAATTTCACGTTCTCTCTCTGGACTGAGGGTTATATTAGATTTTCCAAGAGAGCAACGTCCATCTTGAACGATAGCCCATTGCCATTCCTTCAAACAGACACGTACAATGGCGGGACTAGATGACATCAATCGCATACGGAAAGTTCCACGAACGGCCAAAGCCTTCAAAAGCATTTAAATATAAAATAAAATAAATAATATATAACTTACCGCATTATTAAGTAAAATCAGGCAAAAAACAAAGAAATAAACATTCAAACTCATTGTTCCAAAAATGAACAAAATGTGGATCGGAAGATAGAGAAAAGGAAACAAGAAATAGTTTAATAATTCATAGAAGTTAGTCTGAAATTATAATTATTATTATAAATATACAAATATAAGAAGAATATATAAAAGAAATAATAGTCTGGTTAAGGCCAGCTCCATTTTCTTTTCTGATTTTGTGTGTTCAAAGACCCATATAGGGCCAGAAATGACTCCGCCCATTGCGTACTTTCTCCACCTCCGCGCTCAATCCTCCCCTTTTTTTAGACATTTGAAAATGACAATACATTATTATGGTTAATTCGAGCAAACTATAATTTGGTGGATACAATCAATTGATTGCATTGATTGAGCACTGTAGTTGAATGAAGAGGGAGAAAGAGTAGTAGGGATGAGAACTCATAGAAAACTTGAGAGGGCTAATGATCTATACGAAGTGAGGAGGGAGGAAGAGCTATTGAATATGAAACACATGAAGTATGCTTAAACTACTGGAGAATTGAACAGGATCTGATGTTAAGTTGAACACGATACGCTTGTAAACCAAGGATTCTTTCGCTTTGACTGAGTGAGACCGAGGTAGCTCATCGAACAACTTCCATCTCGCTATGAATGCTCTTCACCAAACTAACCCAATCAGGTAAGGGAAATAAGACATGATAATTCTAAATTAAAGGTTCGAAAAAGACGTGACAGAAGATGAAGTAGAAACAGATATATCAGAGCTGGATCGGCATGATGGTAGAAAGGCTATGAAAGCAGGTGGATGATAGGCCAGGCGTCGGCATTTAGAAGAGCCATGTCTTTTAAGATAACAGGTCATTATCTACACGATTTATGGGGAAGAGGATGTTCGAAAAAAAGAGGAATCAAGTCAAAAAATGAAATTGCAGAAGACAGAGAAAGACTTGAACGTACTGTACTCTTTCATACTTTCATCCAAATAGGTCAGAATCTGCCAGCTGACCAGATTGTTCTTCAAAAAATGGTTGATGGCGGAAGTATCGGATTTTCAAGATTGAATAATGAATGCAAATGAGAGTTGAAGACTGAGCTTAGGATAACGTATGATGATTTTGAGAATCGAGTTGAATAATACAAGGTTTAGGAGCACTTGTGTGAGTCACAAGGCTTATCTTAAGTGCAATCAGTTGTCGGTACATACGGCTTATAGGACTGACAGTCTTTGATGGACAAGCACATTTTGAATCAAAAACAAAATATTAAAATAAAGAGAATGTTGCCAGCGGTAAAAAGGCCACTGAAGAGGAGATGGGAGAGTAATGAATGCGTGATGAATGATTTGATGGTAAACAGCAGATTGAAATGAGAATAATGGTCACGCACAGAAAATGGCTGAAAGGAAGATGTGAAGATGAGTTAAGAAGTAAGTTTGATTGAAGTTGATGAATATACAACCTGTTAATGAGTATAGTTTATATAACTAATTGGATAGAACTAATTCGAAACAGAAGACAACAGATTTTCTCTATCATTCTCTCTCACTTGTCTGTGATCTTTAACGGTATTAAGGATTTCGCATATAATGATGATGATGTCAACAGGAGTCCGTTGAGAGTTTTGGATTTTGGAGATATTCCGACTCGGTCAGTCAGTGGTTCTATTGCGCAATGAGCTTAAGAGAAATGAACAGAGTAAGAGAGAGAGAGAGACACATAGAGAGAGAGAGAGAGAGAGGAGAGCCAAGGTATTTTCGGATAACAAAACAAGCCACCTGCGTGTAAATGTCTCATTTAAGAAAACAATTACTAGTTCAATGGACATAATTAATATTCACGTAATAGCTAATTGTTGCCGGATGTTCCATGTTTCATTTGGATGGAAAGGTGTCAAACGAAAACATTTCTGTTTAGAAGTTGTATAGGATGAAGCGAAGAAGAAGAAAAAATGAAAAACGAGAGAAGAGAAGATGATAATCGATACGACTCTAGAGAATACAAAAGCTTTTTAATATAAAAAATATAATAAAACAATGAAGATCAATGAACATGTTTAACAGAATATGAGAGCATCAGATGAGAGCGTGAGACTAACGGTCAAGCATTCAATGATATCAACAACTCATGTCTTCATATATAACATTCCCTTGTATAGTTCCGAAATCGAATATCTACTTCTCATTCACAACTTTGCTTCATGAGGAGAATGAACGAACGGCTTCTGACAGTTCGAAAATTGAACTCGGAAATGTCGGCAACCTTTTCATGTAGACGCAGCATCTGTCAGTCTCTCAACTTCTTCTTTCATTTTATAACTTCGCGCATTCCTTTGAAAGCTTTCAATAAAACTTCCAATGAGATTTCAACCTCACAACATCAAAAGAACTCATTCAGTAAGATTACGATGATGACGAGAATCATCCAATACATGCAGGACAACAACGGCTGTACAGGATACGGTGAGGATAATGACAAGAGTGGATCGTAACAGTAGATGTTGAGTATTTTTTTGGAAAAGATAAGTTTAATATGATTGAAAGACACATGAGTTCACTAGTGTTCGCTTCTGTATTCGAAGTTGTTTGCAGACGTTGATAATCGCTAGTCATCTACAGATGTTTTGAGGTCTGATAACCAGTGACATTCATATCAATTGGTGTCAAACACACGAGCCATTGCTAATCATTCTAATTTGGTAAAAAAAAAAGCAAATCTTACATAACTAAGTAGATGAGCTATCAAGAGACAGATATTCAGCTGGATGGAATACGATGAGTCTATGCACTTGTCGTGTGCAAATGTATATTATAATATTATAAAAGTGTTAAACTTCAAAAAAAAACAAAAAAGTCTTTTAAATGAGAGCTGAATGTTATTTCAAAGTTCTTAACTGTCAATCATTTGTCAAAATGGCCTACAGTAACATACAAGGATAAGACCTCCAGGAAGTGATTCGTCAGTTTCATGACGGGACGAAAATCAATTTTCTAATAGATCAAATGACAAATCATGAAACGGAAGTGTTCAAATTTGAATACAAAAATGATTTTACGTGACCTCACGTGACTTCACGTAACTCCACGTAAACGTAAGTTCACGTAACGTGTAATCTTTTACTTCGCGTCATTTATTGAAATGTATGCGTATAGAGCGGTTGTACTTTCTATAATTTCAAGAAGAGCGGTGTGACTTGGATACGTGTAGATGATTATTCCAAATGTACATCAGCATATGAAAATGAACAGAAAACTATGAAAGAATCTGTAATAGTCTTGTAAGTCAGTTGGACAACTCTGTCAGTTTGTCAATCATCATTTAAATTGTATTTCAGGTTATTCTCTTCTTGTATTTGGTTAAATGATGGAGCTGAATATGAAAATGTCAAATGGAAATCGACATCTGCCTCAACTTTGCTTTCTCTGCCATTGACAGATGGAATTCAAGCTTACCAGATTGATAGAAAATCAAGTAAGATTTACATTTCTATAAGGCAACTGGTGTTAAGCAAATAAAACCAAATGCTTCAATCCATACATCTGACATCAAGTGAGTGGATTAAACAAGTTCTTTTGTTATGTCGGAAAGTTGGAAGATACCGCTTTGGTAGTCGATATGCTTGTTAGTTCATTCATTCTACTGTAACAATGCCATAGGATCTCTTTTTCTTCTCTCTGACACATTTGAGCTCCAAACGGAATATATGTAAAGGAGAAGGAAACAATTGATTGACCGGAAACGCTCGAGGTGTTAGCTACCATTCTAACGTTTCAGCGGCAACATATGAAAGCGTTCTTCCAACGATAAGAAGTATTTGAAAGACCAGGTGCTCATAACTCCAAGTTATGTTCATCATCAATTGTGTTTGACACGTGAGGTCATGGAAGGTACAAATACGCCGAACACCTAGCCTATATACCATACCGTACTCAACATGTATTTTGAAGTTAATGGTTATAAGAAAAAAATTTTGTCTGCTTCATCTTCAGCATCAATACGGTAGAATGAATGCAAATTCATAAACAGCAGCTGGTAATAGGATTGAATACAGTATAGATGAGTTATCAACTTGAAGCCAGATGTTCCAATTCAACACCTTTCCATTCTTCTCGAGAGTTTTTGTATTCAAAAATATGTTCGAATCAGTACATGTTTCTGGCCTTTTCTTTACTTTTTTTTTTGGAGGGGAATTTGAAGGAAAAAGAGATTCATAAAGCTATGAATCCAGCTGCTCAATTACTTTTCTTGTCAAAGATTCGTCATCCTAGTCATACACATACGTTCTGAATATCTTTCTCTCCTTCGCACAAGTATAACGCTGAGGAGAAGAAAGGATTCAAGACGATTCTAACAAGAATAAATCTCCAAAGGTGTTGTTTGTTAGTTCTTTATTAAAATAAAAAGAAAACGATGAATTATACAGAAGAAGTAGAAGGAGAGAACAGTTCTTCCAACAGAAACAAGAAATGCATCTGCCGGATGATGACTGTTGGGATATGTACAGCTGGCTCATCGCTTCTCTACACATATTCAGAAACTTTTTAAGATTTTCGTTCCATTTTATCTCCACTTTGGGGGGTCAACAAGGCTTCCGGTACAAAAATCGAAGTTTCTTATGAAAGATCGCCCAGAATATAAAAAATATACTTCTTATCTTGATTTACCCTGTGAACGTTTGGAACGAGGAAACATGTGAACACAACATGAGTGACATGAGGAAGTTCATTCATGCATCAAGTATTCAAAGGTTTTTTCGTATTTTTTTGTGAACAACTATATGATCAAGAGAATGAGAAAGGATTGAATGGAACGTGATCGGATGTAATCTCATGTGCTAGAGGTCTCAAGTCTCCCGAAGATATACGAAATCCTCCCAGTTCACATACGGAAGGAGAAGAGTACAGTCAAGAGTCAACAGGCAATCCGAAGTCACACTTTAACGTAGGGTGAACAAAAAAAAATTTAAAAAATAAAGTTGTATTCTGCAATGGTTGGCATAAGAAGGTTACTTCATCATAGAACATTGACAAAAGGTTTGAA